CTGATTTGCTGAGGTTGGCTTTGAACTTGTGATTCTCCTGCCTTAGCTTCCAGAGTTGCTGGGATTACATCTTATCATTCTTATCACAGTGCAGACGTGACACTGGGTTTCTTCCCTTCTCTCCAACAATGTATATGAGAACCTGATTTGGGAAGACAAATAGCAGAAAATGTTTTTATGTCAGACGGATCTGAGTGCAATGTTACTTTTTTGCTGTGTGACATTGGTCAAGATACCATCTCTGAACTTGGGGTTGCTCTCCTATAAAATCATAATAATGCTATAAACTTTGTAGGTATTTTGTAAAGATAATAATGACACTATCATCCAGGCAAGGTGGTGCATTCCTGTAATCCCAGTGGCCTGGGAGGCTGAGGCAGGAGGATCGCAAGTTCAAAGCCAGCCTCAGCAACAGTGAGACACTAAGCAACTCAGTGAGACCCTGTCTCTAGATAAAAATACAAAATAAGGCTGGAGATGTGGCTCAGTGGTTGAGTGCCTCTGAGTTCAATCCTAATACCCTGCCCTCTGCAAAAAAAGCACTTTTTGTGAATCCTTAAATTCTTTTTTAAAAGCATTTTTAAATTTACTTTTTTAAAATTAACCCTTACATTATTTTGCAAAGTGGGTATAATCATCCCTTTTCTCATTTTACAGAAAAAGAAACAAAAACTTGGATTAAGGGCTGGGACATAGSTCAGTTGATAGAGTGCTTGCCTCGCATGCACAAGGTCCTGGGTTCGATCCCCAACACCAAAAAACAAAAAACAAACCAAAAAAAACCTTGGATTCCATTCYAAGTTAACTTATCTGAGGATGCACTGTAAGTACATCATGTGCCCAAGTCCCAGGCGGTCACGTCCAGACCATTAAGGTTGCACAGTGTGGATGTAAAAAGATACTGAGCATCTAGCCCTAGCACACAGCCTACCCCAACACTTGTAGAGTGCCTGCCTTCTCTTCCCAGAGGCCTTATCAGTTTTGTTGAGTTACTTCCAGAGTAATGGTAACTTGGCATTGCTATCCTCCATTAGTGATTCTCCATATTTGTTTTATGTATAAACTCTCTCCCACTGGAAATGAGTGTGTATGCATTTGGTACTAACAAAAAAGTGTGTGTGATTGAACCCCAGGGCCTTGCATGTGCTAGGCAAGTTCTCTACCATTTTTTTTTTTTTTCCTGAGACAGTGTCTCATTCAGTTCCCAGGCTGGACTTGAACTTGCAATTTATTTATTGGTATTGGTAAGTGAATCCAGGGGCACTCAATCACTGAGCCACATCCCCAGGTCCTTTTTTTTTTTTTTTTTTTTGTATGGGGATTGAACTCGGGGGCACTCAACCACTGAGCTACATCCCCAGCCCTATTTTGTATTTTGTTTAGAGACAGGGTCTCACTAAGTTGCTTAGCTCCTCACCTTTGCTGAGGCTGACTTTGAACTTGCGATCCTCCTGCCTCAGCCTCCCAAGCTGCCCCCAGCCCTTTTTTATGTTTTATTTAGAGCCAGGTCTCACTGAGTTGCTTAGGGCCTCACTAAGTTGTTGAGGCAGGCTTTGAATTTGTGATCCTTCTGCCTCAGCMTCCCAAGCCACTGGGATTATAGTTGTGCACCACCAAGTCCTGGCTGCAATACATTTTTTTTTTTGCAGGGGTGGGGGGCTAATACTGTGGATTGAGCCCAGGTCCTTACACATGCTACACAGTACTCTGCCACAGAATTACACTCCAGCCTTGGCCTTTCACATGTAATTCTTTTGCCTTAGCCTTGCAAGTAGCTGGGATTACAGGTATGTGCTCCCACACCTGGCTGAAAATGAGTTTACATTTTTTAAAATTTTTTATTTTTTTAGTTATTGATTGATGTTTATTTATTTACTTATATGTGATGCTGAGAATCAAACCCAGTGCCTCACCCATGCTAGTAAGCACTCTACCACTGAGCCACAACCCCAGCTCATTTAAATTCTAATTTTTTGGGGGGGGGGATTGAACCCAGGGCCTTGTGCATGCAAGGCAAGCACTCTACCAACTAAGCTATATCCCCAAACCCAATTTTTTTWAAATATTTATTTATTTATTTTAGTTTTCAGCGGAAACAACATCTTTGTTTGTATGTGGTGCTGAGGATCGAACCCCGGGCAGCACGCATGCCAGGCGAGCGCGCTACCACTTGAGCCAAATCCCTAGCCCCCAACCCCAATTTAAAAAAAAAAAAATTTTTTTTAGTTGTAGATGGACATAATACCTTTATTTTATTTGTTTATTTTTTTTAATGTGGTGCCAGGAAWCAAACCCAGTGCCTCACCCATGCTGGGCAAGTGCTCTACCTCTGAGCCACAACCCCGGCCCTGAAAATGAGTTTTTAAAGGACTCAGAACACAGGGTTAGGAACAGAGTAGTCTCTGATCATTGCTGCTAACTGGCTCTTTCTTTTCTAGGGACAAGAATGGGGAGACTGCTGGTAGCCATGAGCTCCTGGGGTTAAATCAGGCTGGTAGTCATGGGGCTGGGATGGCCCCAAGCCTGGTTATTGGGCCTGCCCACAGCTGTGGTCTATGGCTCCCTGGCCCTCTTCACCTCCATCCTGCACAATGTGTTCCTGCTCTACTATGTGGACACCTTTGTCTCAGTGTACAAGATCAACAAAGTAGCCTTCTGGGTTGGAGAGGTAGGATCAGCACTGGGCAGTCAGCCTGGTGGGTGCATAGGCTGCTAGGTAGATGGCAGGTGCTGGGTCCCACCTATTCAGGGACATAAGGCAGGCCAGGTTGCCTACCAAGACTCAGCCAGAAAAGCTGGTGGAGGCTTTGATGACTTCTCAGTGGGGATTAGATTAGTTTCCTGGCTATTGTCATATATTCATTGTTCTTTACATTCATGTACAGTACAATCACACATGCTAATTTGTCATCTGGTTATACTTACTCGCTGGGCCCTGGATGAGGCATTGATAAGTGAGTGGCTGGGAGTGTGGGTCTGAGCAGAGGAACTGACCGCAAGGTCTGCAGGCAGCACAGCTGGGGCCATCTTTGAGGGGTGGGGAGTTCTGCTAGAAGCTGCCTGGACCCCACTGTGCCCATCTCCTTTTGCCTGTAGACGGTGTTTCTCCTCTGGAACAGCCTCAACGACCCCCTCTTCGGCTGGCTAAGTGACCGCCAGTTCCTCAGCTCTCAGCCCTGGTTTGTATTGGGGGATGGCTCAAAAGAGCTTCAGTTCCCACCTGTCTCTTGTCCTGGAGGACCCCTGCCTGCATTCGGGGTGGGGAAAGAAAGGCCAGTTCAAGTGTTGGATGTGGATCCACTCCCTTCCCAGGGGCCAGGGCAGGCTCTGTCCAAGTTGAAAAATTGGCTTTGCCTAACCCCTGCCTTGCTCACCCGGGAAGAGACTGACCCCGGCTTGGCTTATGTGGCTTCTCAGAACCCTGCGCAGCAAACACCCTATGCTGCTCCCATCAGATTCCCTTTCCTCCATGCTTGGGCTCATCACTGCCCCCAAACCTGAGAAGTGGGTATCCCACTGCCCTTTGGCCATCAACTGACAGACTAGAGGAGGGCGGGTAGGGCAGAGGAAAGAGTGCACCCACTGGTAAGCTGTGCTTCCTAAGTTGGAGACTGGAGATTGGGTGCATCCTGATGTGTACCCTACATTCTAGGCCTCTGTCCCTCCTCCGAGGCCCGGACAGGAACTGGGGCCAGCCAAGGCCAAAAGGGCATTTCCCAACACCCTCCTCTCCCTGGCAGGTCCGGTGCCAGGCTCTCCTCAAAGGCTGTGGTGCTGGCACGGGTACGGGCGCTGGGCAGGCACGGGCCACTGCTGGCACTGTCCTTCCTGGCATTCTGGGTGCCTTGGGCCCCAGCTGGCCTACAGTTCTTGCTGTGCCTGTGCCTCTATGATGGCTTCCTGACACTCGTGGACCTTCACCATCATGCCTTGTTGGCCGACCTGGCACTCTCGGCCCACGACCGCACGCATCTCAACTTCTACTGCTCCCTCTTCAGTGCAGCTGGCTCCCTCTCTGTCTTTGCCTCCTACGCCTTTTGGAACAAGGAGGACTTCTCCTCCTTCCGCGCCTTCTGTGTGGCACTGGCTGCTGGCTCTGGGCTGGGCTTTCTGGGGGCCACGCAACTACTGAGGCGGCGGGTTGAAGTGGCTGGAAAGGACCCTGGGTGCTCAACCCTGGCCATGGATGGTGGGTGAGTGGCCATCAATGCTGGGATCCCAGGCTGATGCTGAGTCTTTTGGCTGATGGGTGGCTGCTCTAGGGTGGGAGCAGACTTTGGCCCAGCCCCAGCAGTTCTCAACTCCCCTCTGCCCATAGCCTGTATGGAGAGGAGCTGCTAGTGGGCAGTGAGGAAGTGGGCAGCATCACCTTGGGCCAATACCTCCGGCAGCTGGCACGCCACCAAAACTTCCTGTGGTTCGTGGGCATGGACCTGGTGCAGGTATTGGGAATGGTATCTTTCCCCCAGTGACTGGGCTATCTCACACTCTAGTGGACAGGTGCCTCAGGAGTTGGGCACTTAGGAGGCCTTGCTGGGCAATTTGGTGACAGGGACAAGGTTGGGATATTAAACCTGGGTCATAGCATTCTCTGAATGATTTCAGGTAGGTCTCAGCCTCTCTGGGTAGCCTTGTCCTTACTTATAAAGTGAGGGCTGAAAGATTGTCTCCTATTGGGACTCTGTTATAATCTTTTTAAAACACCAAGTGCCACTCCTAAAACCCATGTAGTGTACAAATTAGCTACATTTAGAAACCAATTTTTTTAATGTCTTGAGACTTGTTTTACTAATATGTTTTCAATTAAAAGAAAAACTTATTCCAATTATCATTTTATTATATCTCTAACTTTTTGATAACCAACAGGAATGTGGCTTTAGATCTTTTTCTGGCATGTTCCATGTTTAGGGACTTGGGGACAGAAGCCAGTTCTCTACTGCTCTGAGGACATGTGCTTCCCCTATTGGCTTATGGCCCTGCTGGGGTCACCCTCCTTACTGACCTGTTGGCTTATAGGTGTTCCACTGCCACTTCAACAGCAACTTCTTCCCCCTCTTCCTGGAGCATCTGCTGTCAGACCACATCTCTCTCTCCACTGGCTCCTTCCTGTTGGGTGAGTGGGTGTCTCAGGCAGGCTAAGGACAGAGGCTGTACCCAGAGCCCCTAGCCCAGCTGCAGGCATGGTCTAGCTGAGGGCCAGGTGGCAGAAGGCGGGGATGAATCTGCCAGGGGATTGCACCTTGGGGCCAGCTCGGTTTTCCTGAGGTGGTGGGTTTCCGGGAGGGACTGACGCACAGGCTAATCCTCTTGGTGATGGTGCCACCCAGAGGCGTTATGATGCAGTGCAGTGGTTGCTTAGCAGTGAGGACTATATCTGATAAGCCTGGGTGTGTCTTGACCATGTTCTCTCCCTGGGTGGTCTTCAGTATGTCATTTTTTGGGGTCTCCCTTTCTCATTTGTAAAGTAAGGAGAAAGCCTGGATGTGTGGGCTCCATATCCGTGGACTCAACCAACCCACAGATTAAAAATATTCAGGAAAAAAATCGCATCTGCATTAAACATATAGTCTTTTTTTCTTGTCATTAGCCCCTAAACAATATAGTTTATATCAACATGTATCAAATAGTATGACAGTTTATATTTATATAGTAAATAGTATGACAATTATTTATATGACATGTATATGGTATTAGGTATTATAAGAAATAGGAGATAATTTAAAGTGTGTATGTGGGATGTGACTAAATCAGATGCAAATACTATGTCATTTTATATAAAAGACTTAAACATCTATGGATTTTGTTTTCCCTGGGTGATCCTGGAATCAGTCTCCTGAGGATACCAAGGGACAACTCTTATTTACTTTAAAGGCTTGGGAAGATTAGRTATAAACATGTAATGTGGTGATACACACTTATAATCCCAGCTACTCCAGAGACTGAGGCAGAAGGATCACAAGTTCAAAGCCAGCCTGGTCAACTTAGCCAGACCTTATCTCAAAATAAAATTTCAAAGGGCTGGGAAAGCCAGGCATATTTGCATGTCTGTAATTCAGGCAACTCTGGAGGCTGAGACAGGAGGATTGCAAGTTCAAAGCTAGCCTCAGCAACTTAGTGAGACCATGTCTCAAAATTTTTATAAAGGATTGTAAATATAGCTCAGCATCTTTGGATTCAATCCCCAGTACCAAAAAAAAAAAAAAAAGAAGAAAAAGAAAAGAAAAAAAGAAAGGGCTAGGGAAGTAGTTCAGTGGTATTAAATTTGCCTGGTATATGCAAGGCCCTGGGTTTAATCCCCAGTACCAAAAAGAAAAATTAAAAAGTGTGTGACACTCTTAGCACAGAGCCCAGCACATTGTTAGTGTGCAATTGATGCAAAGTCTGATTCTTAGAGTTACAATGTCAATCACTGCTGAGGCTGTGGCAGTGCCCCTGACAAGACAAGGCCCTCTTCCTTCCCCAGGTGTCTCCTATGTCGCTCCCCATCTCAACAACCTCTACTTCCTGCCCCTGTGTCAGCGCTGGGGTGTCTACGCAGTAGTGCGGGGTCTCTTTCTGCTCAAGCTGGGCCTTAGCCTGCTCATGCTGGTGGCTGGCCCAGACCATCCTGGCCTGCTCTGCTTCTTCATCGCCAGGTATGCTTCTGCTCGCAGTCATCCCCACCCCCACCCCCACCCCTTTATCCCACCTTTCACCCTTGCCTACTCCCTCTGCTGGCAGTAACCGTGTTTTCACTGAGGGCACCTGCAAGCTGTTGACCCTGGTGGTCACTGACCTGGTGGATGAGGACCTGGTGCTGAACCATCGTAAACAGGCGGCCTCAGCGCTTCTCTTTGGCATGGTTGCCCTGGTGACCAAACCAGGCCAGACCTTTGCCCCACTGCTGGGCACCTGGCTGCTCTGCTTCTATACAGGTGAGGCTCCATGGGTACAGCTTACCTGGAACACCACCTGACAATCTTGTGAGGAAGAGAAAATGGCCACTTGCTAGGCCCGGGCTATCCTGGGCTGCTAACCAGGATAGCCTTTCCCACACAGGTAGAGGAACTTGGTCTCAGATTCATTTATTCTTTCATTAATTTGTTCATCCATTCAGTGAGTATAGAACACCTACTGTATGTGCTGGGGAGATCACAATGAGTAACAGACAAGGTCTTTGTTATCACAGAGCTTATAATCTAATTGGGAGCAGGGTGTTGGCAATAAACAACAAACAAGAATGTATCAAATAATGGTGAGTGTCGTGGTAAAATAGATGGGGAAAGATGAGACCCTGTGGCTGAGAAGCCGCTAAATATGGCTATACAAGGCCTCTCCTTGAAGGTGACCCCCAGGATGTGAACTGAATGGCAAGGTTTGGTCAAGAAAAGGTCTCAGTGAATAATAGGCAGAGGGGATGGCAAATGTGCAATTGATGCAAACTCTGATTCTGAGAGTTACAATGTGTATCAGGAGATTTGGAGAGAACTTTGTACAGGGTTTGGATTTTATTTATTGCACAGGGAAGATATTGGGAGAGTTACAAGCTGTGCAGTGACATGGTCTGATTTTGTTTGTTTGTTTATTTATTTATTTATTTATTTTACGGTACTATGGATTGAACTCAGGACCTCTCATGCCCAGGAAAGTATTCTACCACTGAGCTACACCTCCCAGCTCTTTTATTTTTTGTGGTGCTTGAGGTTGAATCCATGGCCTTGTGCATATAAAGGCAAGCACTCCACCAACTGAACTTTATCYCTAGCCCCTCCCAGCTCTTTTTAAAAATTCCTATTTTGAGACAGGGTCTCACTAAGCTGCCTAGGCTAGCCTTGAACTTGTGATCCTCCTGCCCCACTCCACCAGCCAGTAGCTGGGAATCCAGGAATGGATCACCATGCCTGCTCTGATGGATGTTTTGGAAAGTTCACTATGGCTATTTTATGGGAGGACAGATTGGATCATAGGGAAGCCAGAGTGGGAATAGCAGGARGATAATTGGAAGAGTGTGACAGAGGCAATGGAGTGTTTGAGCCAGTGTGGTGGCAGGTGGGATGCATTTTGGAGTTGGGGGAGACAAAGACTGGGTATTGGAGAGTGATGAAGTTAACTAAGGAATTGAGGCAGGCCTGCAGGATTTGGCCTGAATTATTGGGTAGATGGTGGTGTCATTCACAAAAAGGGAAGATTGGGAGGAGCAGGTTTAGGGGAGTTGTGGTTTGAGACACATGACATTTGAAATGTCACTCCATGGACTTTGGAAAGGAACTGTTGACCATATACTTTCTATGCTCTCTTGTCCTAGGTCATGATCTTTTCCAACAGCCTCCAATGACCCCTGTTGGGAGTGCCCAGCCCTGGCCAGAGCCACCAGCTCCAGCCCCAGCACAGGCCCCCACGCTCCGTCAGGGCTGCTTCTACCTGCTGGTGCTGGTACCTATCACTTGTGCACTGCTGCAGCTCTTCACCTGGTCCCAGTTCACACTGCACGGGAGGCGCCTGCACATGGTCAAGGCCCAGCGCCAGAATTTGGCACAGGTCCAAACCCTGGACATTAAGACAGTGTGAGAGGTGTAGTAAGGCTACCCTGTTGAGGACACTGCCCCAGTCAGGGAGCAGGAGCCACTTTTGCCAGTGTCCTGCTAGTGCACCTTCTTTGGGTGCAGCATAGAGGAGATGGCAGATGGGAGCTCCTGGAACTTAGCTAGGAATGTCATTGAAGTCTTTTCCTCCCTAGCTGTCTGGCTCAGTTTGAGCAAGGGCTGGGCTGTATGTGCTCAGAGACATGGTTCCTCTGTGGGGCAGGAGGAAAGAGGACCAGAAGGGATGGGGCTACATGTGGTGACTGCCATGGGGCATGGAGGCCCAGCCTACTGTCAACTAGGGCTGGCTGCTCTAGCCAGCTTAAGAACCACTTTTGATAACACAACTGCTCCCTTTTGCCTAGTCAAGGGAAGCCTACTCYAAGTGCCACTTGCCACTGCCTCCTAGTGTTTTTTTTTCAGAGGGTTCTTCTTTAGCTGTTTGAAGTAGCATGTTCCCTCTGCTGCAGGACTCTCCCATCAATACACCTCTGGAGAAGCTCATTTTGTTACAGATTGATTAAAGCCAGTCATTCCTACTTCTTAGGTCCATGTGAGAGAGGGAGAGGGAGGGAAAGAGAGCTGGGTTGGTGGGAATGGGAGTGGGAATCCTATTCCTCACTGAACAGGTAAAACACCCGAAGAAGATTTTCCTAAATAAAAGGTGGCTATCTGCATCAGACTTGCTGGGGTGCAGGGACAAGAATGCAGACTGCTGGTTTCATGGGTACTGGAGGCCAAAGTGACTTTCAGGCCTGGAGTCAGCCATCCCAGTGTATTTCCCAGGTACTGCTGCTAGACATGGTCATCAAACAGGAGTCTCTATTGGGTCAGAGGTTCTCAGCCTGGGGACCACCTGGGCTTCAAAAAAGTATCAAATTCTGACTTATTTGGGCTTGAATATGACCTGAGTAGTATTAAGATTTCAAAAACCTCTGTAGATGATTTTTCTTGTGACTGGGATTGAAAACCATTGTTCTGGGCCAGCATGTTTCAGCCTTGGCACTAGAGATACTAGGGCAATTTGCATTGTGTGTTACCATCCTTGGCTTCTACTTACCAGATGCCAATAGCAACCTCCCAGTTGTGACAACCAAACATATCTCCAGATAGCAAGTTGTGTCTTAGGGGCAAAACTGACTCCAACTGGGACTCATTGCTTAAGGCCAGAGATTTTGAGGATCTGCTCAGGGATCAAAAGGTAGGCTCTAGGGCTGTATTGCTTGGGAATACACCCCAGCTAATAAATGGGAGAACTTTGGGAAAGTTGCTTCATGGATCATAAAAACACATATACTTTGTAGGGTTATTGGGAAGATTAAATGGCTAAGCACCTGACAATTTTTCTGCCAGGTATGGGTTCAAATGGGAAAAAATGATAAGCTCCCAGACTTTACATGAAAGTCTGGAAAACCTCTGACTTCAGGGATGTCAAGAGCTACTCATCATTTATATAGCTACTCCATCATTTATAATAGAGCCTCACCCATGGCTTTGGTGCGCACACAGGAGTTAGACCCTTGTTTTTTAAACTAAGGCTTTGGTGTGAACATCCTTTTTTTCTTTTTTGGTACTGGAGATTGAACTCAGAGGTACTTTACCACTGGGCTACAACCCCAGTCCTTTTTATTTTTTGAGGGTCTGACTAAGTTGCTAAGGCTGGCCTTCCAACTTGTGATCTTCCCACCCGAGCCTCCTGGGTTGTTGGGATCACAGACAGCTAAACACTGTTTTCATCTACCTGACAGGCTGAGGGTTCGGCTGCAGTCTGCCCATATTCAGTTATGCCTGCTAGAGGACAGACTAGGCCTGGTCACTGCCTCAGATTCAGAGACTGCAGCTTCTCCCTCTTCCCACCCAACACTGGCCACAGACGAGAGGCCCAGTTGACATGTGTATTGGAACGAYTTTATTTAAGTACACTGGGCCCCACCAGGCAATGTGGTTTGTGCGAGGCTGTGCGAGGGATGGGCTTGGGCTAAGAGAAGGGGGGTGAGCTGGTTAAGCACACTGCAGTCCGTGGGTTGCCACATCGGTTTCACACACCTGCTTCGGCCCACATCTGGCAGGGGCCTTTGGTCATAGGATGGAGTAGGGGAAGAATACTGCCTGGAATCTAGGACTAGGTTGGGACTTGGTGTCACAGGTGAGGGTCCCAGTGAAGACAGGCTCCCCCAGCTTTGTACCATCTGGGTTGAAGGCCTTTGGGCCACTACTAAGGGCCAGGCCTGAGCCCTCCTGGCACTCTGGTCTGGCCCTTTCCTTCCCTCCCTTCCCAAATAGGTCCAAAGATGAGAACAGCACATGATCAACCCAGAGGGGGCATTCCTGCCCTTCCACCTAGTCCCTCTACTCAGCTAGAGTGCAAAAGGCAACTTGGTTAACTGTAGCTTTCCCCAGTCTCAGGGGGACTGTGTCCCAATGCCCCTCCCTTGCAAGGGGCCTCTGCTGAAGAGTGATTCTATCTCCTATTTCAGAAAATCCAACCAGCAACCAGACCGTTGGTTTCAGGGTGGTGAGCAAGTGCAGGAGGGAGGAAAAAAAAAAAAAAGGACTGGTGGGGGGAGTGTAGCCTTCAATCCCAAAGGGTTCTGAGGCCTATGGATACTGTCAGTTCACCATCAGTAGGGAGTGGCGAGGCCCTGGATGCTACACTAAACCTAGGTGMTGTAAACATTAGTGTGAGCAGGGTGACTAGTAGGCAGGAAGCAGTGAGCCCCCCTCCCCAGTCCCCTTATTGAACATACACTTCAATAAATAAAATTGTTAAGATGGCATTGAAACAAAGATGGATGAGAAGCAAGTAATAGGACCAGAGCCAATAGGCTCCTTAAACTCTCCCAAGACCCTCTGGATGGAACTGGAGCTGGAAGCATTAACTCTGCAGCCAATCAGAGCTGGTCTCTTCAAGTGTCCAGTGTGGTCCTGGTGTACAGGTGGACATGAGGGCTCCCTGCTCTCTCCTTACCCTAGTCTCTATAACCCATAATGGAGAGCTTCTCAGCCTCCCAAACCCAAACCGCAACAAAACGAGAAGGACTTAGCCCCAGTCCCAGTCCTCAGTCCATGATCAAGAGGCACCGATAGCAGAATGAGGAGCTAGGGAAGGCAGCAGCTGCTTTGGACCTCAGGGCACCCTGGAGGTGGTGGTAGGGTGGGGCCAGCCCAGCCTAGGCAGGGCAGCAGCAAGATCTCCCTCTGGTGGCAACCAGGGTCCCACAYAGCCAAGCAAAGGCCCAGCTGAGAAAGGAAGTGGGGCCTCTGCCAGCGTTCTTCCCTATCAGGGGCCAGTTAGTGGTCAACCCCAGGCCTCAGGCCATCACCATCGTGGGTAATTCATCGTTCTTTCCGGGCCCAGGGATCCCTGGGCCACACGGCCCTGGCATACGCGCACACATTCRTACCCACACACACTCACACACACAGGCAGTTCCTCGCAAACACTCCGACTCAAGAAAGCGAGTTTTAAAGTGGAGTTAACTTCAGAGAGAGGTGAAGATGATGTCTCAACATTAGAAGGTTTTCCTGTGGATGGATCGGGCACCATCTTCCTCATATTCCTTCTTAGAGACCCACATCTTCTTAAAGGTGTCCAGGGAGGCAAGGATAGAGCCCCTGAAGTGGAGGGAATCCAGAGGAACAGTGTGAGACACTAAATTCATGGAGCCAGCTAGTACCCCTGGGGCCAAACGAGATGAGGCCACCCTTTCAAGGCCGGGAGTGAGAGTTAATCAATGCTTTTGCTTCCTGTTCCACTCTTATTCCCAGAAAAGCTACTCACCCAATCCATGTAGAGTACAGTCTCTCCTGAGGGGCAGATATCTGCAAAGGTGGGTGGAAAGAAATCTGAGACTTCAATACCTCCACCTCCCTTCTACCACTTGTCTCCCCACARAGGGTAGTGGATGTAATCCATGTAACAGGCTTTAAGCTAGGCTCCTGCTGGACTCTTGATCTCTCTGGAGAGTATTGTGGCTAGCCTGATACTCAATGGGGAAGCAGGGACCACACTCTTTCATTTAGGGTCCCTCCTCAGCAGGCAGTTAACTCCCCTTAGCAGTCACTTAAGATGTTGGACTATGTAYAGGGGAGCCTCCTGGGCAGGAGGTAAGTCAATCTATCAATTTCACTTTCTCTTTTTTTAATTTTTTTTCTTTTTTTTTTTTTTGTAGTTGTAGATGGACAGCATGCCTTTATTTTATTTATCTTTATGTGGTGCTAAGGATTGAACCCAGTGCCTTACACGTGCTAGGAAAGTGCTCTGCCACTAAGCTATAGCCCCAGCCCAATATCACTTTCTCTTAAAGACTACTTGTGGGGTCTTTAGCACAGTAGTACCCTGCCACATCTGGGTACTGAACTCCTTTTGAGTGATGAATGAGAATGGGTTCTTCCCTCTAGCAGACCTAGACCTCAGGGTCACTGTGTAAGCTGGGAGCCACCTGGCACTGCTTGTGGAGTCCTGGCAGCCCAAAAACCCCCAGAAGGGCCCAAGGGAGGTCACACCATGTGGCATTCCAGGTCCTTGGAGCTCCAGTTCTACCCAGCSCAACCCCCACCACATTCCTACCCTGATCTTCACGTCTTTTGGAGCCAGTTTCTTTACTTCACTCAGTAGCCTGTCACCAAAACCTGAATGGGCAGAAAAAGAGACTCAGGTAAAAAAGTATTGGGTTGTCTGAGCCCAGCAGGATCAGGATGCTTCTTGGGGACCCAAGAGCAAAGACCAACCTTTAAACAGTGTGGAGCCTCCAGAGAGGACAATGTTGGAGAAAAGTGTGCGCCGCAGGTCCATGTCAGACTTCTGAATGGCAAATACCAGGACCTCATGGATGCCCTCACTCTCCTCACCAATCAAGTCCGGTCTGAACAGCAGTTCAGGAGCCCGGAATCGGGAAGGACCAATCTGCAGAGTGAAGGGCCAACTTAAGAGGTTGGGGCTGGGACCCAAGTTCTTTAAGAGTGTGAATGGAAGAGATGCAGGCTGCCCATCTCTTAGTAAAGCTAGGAAGGCCAGGATCAAGACAGACCCTATATGTAAAGGGCCTCAAATAGAGCTTCTGGGAACAAAATAGAGAATAAAGAAGAACAAATAGAGCTCTTGGGAAAACAGAGGAGGAGCTCCTACATTTACTCAATCTTGGGCATTTTTGAGCTCAGAGATTTCATTCATTCACTCATAGAAATTTATTCATATCAATGGGAGTTCCAGGGAGCGGCAAGTCACCTTATACTGTGTCCAGGACACAGACACCATACTACTTCCCAATCTATCCCGACCTAGGAAAAGCCCCCTGGAGTGTCCTCCTCTCCATACAGAGGGACAAAGTCCCTACCTCTACTCTGTAGGACACAGAAAGCTGATCATGCTGCCTGTGAGTTTCATGTTCTAGGCCCTCGTGGGGAGTTCTGTTTGGGCCCAGAGCTTTTGTGGGTCTTAGGAGAAAGAGGAACGAGGTCTTGTCACTACCTCAATGGTGCTGCCGTCTGGCAGGTAGTACTGAGCCTTCTCCGTCTCTAGCGTCTCATCCTTCTGGGGGTTTATGGACAGGTAGCAGGCTCTCTGCA